TATACTAAATTAAATATATCGACAACAACTGACGGATTGTACTGAAATATTAAAACAGTAAACGTTAAAACAGTAACAAAACAAAACAATGAACCAGTAGATACTTCTGCAGTGGCGAGTCCAACAAAAGAATGAAAATAAATCATACTAAAATCGAAACTAATTGTCTCCATTCTCCTGGTGGAGTCCTTGCAAGAATAGACAATGTTAGGCGTGAAATAGGTGCATTTTTTCTGATAAAACGATTTAGTGTGAAGAAGCGCCATGTGGTGGGCTTGAAGCTTAAGACTTTTAATTTGACCGCTGCCTTCACAGTATAAGAAAAAAAAACAGATGAATACTGTGCATCGCTGAAAGCATAGATTTGCATTTTTCAGATATGTCGATAACCACTAGTGCTTAAGTACTTTTAAAACAATTGATAATTAATCAAACAAAGACGAAAATCATTCAATAATATCAAATAATTCATATCCGAACGTCAATACTGTTGAAAAAAGACTAGTATGGACGACAAATTTAATATATACCTATTATTAATATATATTCTACAGATATATACAGATAACCGCAAAGATATGCAAAATTAAGTACAGTTTTTGTTCTAAGGTACTTTAAAACATAATGTTTATTCTAGGATTTCCTAATTTCGTATTTCTTTCAATAGAAGAATCTGTTAATTTATCTAATACTATAACTCGGCTGGTCCAGTGAAAAGCGGCTCGTAAAACATCACAAAGGCTAACAATGCACAAATTTGTTTCTAATGAACGGACTGACACGCCTACAAAACCTTGCTCGGCCAGATTTTTGAGATGAGACGCAACGTCGTCGACAAGAAGTCTTCGAGGTTCGTAATTTCAAGATCTCTAAACATGAAGTATCGTTTGTGCTTTACGCGAGTAGTAAACATAAAAATTTTGAACAATATAAAACGCGGAATATTAGTACAGTTATTTTTAATTGTATTTAACTTCGACCCGACATTTTCTATACTTTGCAGCCGTCGCGTGGGCCATGGCGCATCGAAGCGGGGTCAAATAGGATTAAAAATATGTGAAATTTTTTTACGCGTTTTAAACCGTTCAAAGTGTTGTATTTAACTATGCACTTGCATGAACCAGAGACAATATTTATGTTTATTATATTTATTTTACCATCTATGTGATTAAAAGCGTTTTATTTAAATAATAAACATATCGAAAATTGTCTTTCTTTTTAAAATCCCAGCTGTATGTTAACAAGCTGAAGAAAGCAAAGAATATTATAACGATGCAACGCAATCTGTATTTAATCTCGTTAGTATTGTCAAAGCGACTCGCATACTGGCAACATTGTTCAATAAAAGTGGGAAGCTAAGGTTTTTAAAACGCTAGGGTGAAACCGCACTGCGGTTTACGAACGTTATATTGTTAACAAATCATTAGAAATAAACGTAAAGGGTATCTCTTGCTTACTTACATATCGAGGTCTCAATATTAAAAAAGTTGAAAGTGAATGTCAAACTGTCAACAACAACTGTTAAGTTAGATTACGTTTTTAATAGATAAATAAGTAATCTTCTTTATAGCTTGTACTAAATAATATCACAATTAATATTAATTTAATTACGTAGTTAGGAATTGAAATAATTTACAAAGTATTCAGTTGTTTCGATGTAGCTATTTTAATTATGACCTATTATTTTAATTGTCGTTATCCTTTCGCGTATAAATTACGAAATAATAGCGATATACTTTTAATTACAATTAAATGTAGTGCTACATAACTCTCTTAATTAATAAAGTACAATTAAAACAGTAACACAAATAAAAATTGCCAGTGCGCGGTAGGGCCGCGTTTTTGTGCCACATCAAAATGGCGGATCGGAAGCCATTTTGCGTTCGCAATTTTAATTGGGACGATAAAGGAAGGTTTTTCGCGGAATATTTGAGGGGAATGCGGTCGGGCGCAGCAAGAACTTTTATCTGTTGCCGATTAAAATTCCACTTTGAAATCGAACAAATAAGTGCTTTTTGTTTGTACCACGCCCGCGACACTCTAAGCCGATGTAACAATGGCGTTCATTGTTTGATAACATTTCGCTCGCTTTTAAAAGAAACGTTGATTCTTTCAAATCGTTTGCTAATTTATTATAAATAAGTATTGATCTTGATTAAAGATAGCATATCTTAGCGTCGACTACAAGAGCTCCTGGGAATCCAAAAACTTTGATCAGACATGACTTAGAACTACTTATGGTTTATTTGATTATGACTAAAATTGATTAATGAAACTTATTTCCATAGGCTTAGGCTTACACACAAAACTACATTTTTACCTACTTACAGGTGGAGAATTTCGATTTCTACCGTACTTACACTAACTAACACACAAGTAGGTAGATATGAATATCTATAACAAGTAGTAGCAAATGAAATAAGTTTAAAAAGCTTCCGATTTAAAAAAGCTAATACAAGCTTTAAAACATAAATTTAACAGCGCCAAAACAGACATGAAATATTTCATTCCACGCGGTGTCCTTTGATTTATAAACACAATTTGATTTAGCTGCGCGCACGTCGCTTAAACGATTCGGTTGATGTTTTTATGAGACACAGCTTACTCACGCTTAATAGCTATTAGTGACCTATTAAAATGACGGATAATATGACGAGATTGCTGTCTTGTTAAAAATAACGTTTCTATCTCATTATGCGTTATGAAAAATATGACGGAATGTTAGTGACTACTGTGCGGTCGTTAGTTAGTCGAATAACGAATAATATGTTAAGTCTTTGAATTTAGTCCTTTGATATTTTAAAAGACTGAAATATAGATTTTGAATTGCAACGCATTTATTTAGTTGGCATAGAGAGATTAGATCAAAGTTTATTAGGATTGGTAATGGCGTAAAAATATTTAGATATAATTTATGATATCTTTTTTTTATACAAGGGTTTACTTAACTGAAGCAGGAATAAGCCAACCATATAACATTATAAAAAAATACGCTGTCGACTTATTTTTTCGTTATGATAAAGGAGTACAGGAGGACCTATTTTGACCGTAGATATTTGAATATACATATGTTATATTATCGTATTAATTTTTATTGTCTGCCCTACGTGAAGCAAAATATTAGTTAGGTCAAAAACGCTAGTAAACCTTATTTCAAGTACCTTCGCACTTAAGTAGGGTAAGTTTCTACATAAATGTGTACAAACTTTAACTTCGATGGAAAATATTAGATGAAAATTCATGGCAACGTATATTGCCTGATGAAAGATGAAGCATAAATATTGTTTTTCCTTTAGTGGGTGCAAACTCTACATTGAATTAGCTAAGAGAGCTATAAGAAAATAGTTCATTACATCTCTTTACTTAGTAATTACAGTTATAATTAACAGATACGGCAAGGAAGATGTCAATTAGCATTAATTTTTGTCGGGTCATTTTTTCCGAAGCACAAAAAATCAAATATGATTTATGGTATTCGTTGTAACATGAATACTCGTAGGATACAAATTGTCTATGACAGATTTTTTGAGTAGCTTGTCTATGGACTGGCAGTTTACGAAAGTATCGATATATTCTGATTAACAACCATTATTGAAGCTTGGCACATTAGGGTAATGGTAGCAATGTAAGGCAAATAACCAACGAGTCTTGAACTCGACCTCCTCGTCCGACATTTTTTAAATTATTTACTGAAACTTTTCTGAAACATTTATTTATTTGGATTCTGTCTGGAAATCAGGATATAAAATGGGTGGTAGGAATTTTAATTAAACAAATTTTATAAATAATCAGTATGTTTTTTACCTCCTTAGGTAATACGCACAACTCCCAAATAAGTGTTCCCTTTTCTTCATGACAAACACATTTCTGTATCCGTTTAACTGATCGATTATTAACAGGAAAGTAATGTGGTGTAATTAAATAATGATTTTTATGATCTAGACAATTTAAAGATTCAAGTTATAACATTTATCGATAACATCCCATCCCTAATATTAAGAATCTCGAACGGATACTTCCTTACCAATTAAGCAGAAGGGAAATCACCGTATACGGTATTGTTGTTGTAGAAGAAGTACCTCTATGTCTATGGCGTTAAGGACTAAAATTGTTGAAAGGGAGCGAGATAGAAATGTTATTTTTGGCTAATTTGGTTGAAGTATTTTCTAATGGTATTCTATTTTGACATTCGTGTTAATAGACCGCAGGTGTTCCCGAGAATTCAGGGAACGCTGGAGGAGATTTGATTTAGTAGCTATTGGCCCGGACTTTTAATGTCTCGTTAGATGTATATGAATACTTCATTAGATTTGGAAACTGGGAATCCTGGTGTATTTAAAGGCTGTTCATGTAACAATTTACTAATTTTAAACTGATTAAAAGGCCAAATATATGAATTAACATATTGATTTCAACTACGGCCCAAAGTGTGATGCTTTGCAGCGTTGGTCACGGGGGAACTGAAAATTGCGAGTGATCCTAATGTTACAGTCAAATCTGCTACTCTAGCTAATATATTTCGCGTTTTAAACTGTTGAAAGTTTATGGGTTCCACCGGCGTAAACTATACACAATACTCTATGTAAAATTGATGCCTAAATTCTCTTACATCTAAACAAGACGCGGTGTCGATCAAGTTTTGTTTTTGACAGTCCTAAATCCACAGAATGATACCGACTTACCATTTTATAGCTTTTCCACGAGTGGATGGTGGGTCTCAACTACTCATATAATGATCCAGATCGTCTAGTAGTTTTCAGAAAAATTAGAAATTGATTAAGTAAACATTTATATTTATATATTTTATTTTTTTATTCCGTTGGGAATCGAACTCGCGATAGTTGTTTACAAGCCAAACATTGCAACTATTCGATTAAGTCCGTCGTTATTGCGTTATTAGTTGCAGATGTTTTACAAAAACCTTCAATTACAGAATAACAAATGAATGTCGGGAAGCGATACTTAGCGTTCTTGTTTAACAAAAACATCAATTAGCAAATATGTGTTTTTGTCCCCGCATGTGCTACCCTCAAATGATCTGGTATCTTGCCGTTTGGGCCAAATATGTTCGTCTAATAGTCACAGAAGTATGTCTGGAATGCGAGCAAATGATTGAAGAGGGAAGATTTTACGGTTTTGTGATACCTAGTAGTCACAAAAGGTTTTTAAAAGCACCGTTAGGTGTGATATAGCATCCGACGTGAAGGGTCGAGGTAAAAATCGATAAACTTATATATTCAGAGATTTAAGCAGTTAAAAATATTTTATTTAATGTTCACCTACAAGCTCAAACTAAAAAACTAAATGGTAATTAGAATCATTTCGGTTAAAGAGAGTTTATCTGACTGTAAATACTTATATTGCATATATTTTTATATATACACACACTTATGTGCTTTTCCATACATAATATCTGTTCAAGAATTACCTAGTTGACTTTTTGATTAGCTTTTGGCGGCGTTCAACATTACATTACATTATTATTACCACGTCAATCTCATACAATAATTACGTCGATATAAGTAAATAGATAGTTAAAATATAAATATCAAATCTTAATTAAAAAATCTATTTTAAGTAGGTAACATTATTTTTAATTTATATAGCTTATAAGATTAAAAACTATAGGTCTTGTTTTCAAATACCTACCTAATCTAGTTCTTGAGTAGTTAAGTACTACGTACTTAATAATCAACAAGAAGTTACCTATATACCAGTACCTATATTGTTTTAGGTTACCCATATTATCACTATAGAGTGGAAGGTTAAGTTAATATTATTTTCATCCAGCTTTGCTTAACTTGAAGCAAGAAGGTAAAAAACTTGTTAGATATAGGAGAAATTACAGATAGAATATAAAAAATATACGAAATTTTCTTTGACATCCACTGTTCGGACGGAAACCGATAAATTTAATGTATCGCGATCACACTAAACCGTTTAAGAGAATAAACAATATGATATTAATATCGCAGCTTCATTTATCATCTAACACCAGTCAATCCTCAAATCACAGAGGTCTATAAAGAAGCAAACGATTATCACCCTTAAACCTAGAGCAATAAGGCCTCTTAAATTGCTCCACGCACTCAATTTTTCTTCGCACCCCACATAATTAACCGTTTTCCCTTCCGAATACAAAATACCTATTTAGTACAATCTATGGGAAGAGGACGGAGATAGGAATGTGTATGGGTGTGAGGGAGAGAGTCCAACCCTAGTTTCACGGTCGCCGAGATTTGGGGTTGCAATAATGTCCCAGGTTGGGGACTCTTTGTGGGTTATTTTTGGGACGCAATATGTGTACGGGTATTGAATGAGCGTTTTAAGGAAGTAAATAATGTCTGATACAATATCGAAAGACATCTTTGGCCAAATATTATTACATTTAGCTTAAATTAAGCTATAGAATACATTTTTTTATTAAGGTTAAGCAAAGTAAATAATTAATAAAGATAATACACGAAAATTAAACATTTCGTTTCTTTTAACAGTTAAAATATAGGTACCTATGTAGAGAACTTCTATTACTGTAACTTTGAGTAACAGGTAGAAAAAAATGTGTCTAAGTACTTGTAAACAGGAAACGTTAAACAGAACGCTTAAATTGTATGTGGTATGCAAATAAATAGAGATATAAGATGATTAAACAGAATACATAAGTGATAATTGCATTGATAGACATTTTTTTTATTAATTAATTTAGCCTAATTTATTCCATAAACGAATTCTTAGAATTGACCAATTTGACATTCCGTCTAAACGATAATTGAAACTAAACGTCCGTCCGCAGAGGCCGTAAATCAGGCGACCTAATTCGAAGCGGAGCCAAACTCGGCGACCGCCCTTAGCACTAATCGCACAAAACCTCTCAAAGGGATCTAACAAGCGCCATTCAGCGCTCATTATATTTTCATACTTTACACCGTCGGACATAAAGTGCGCGATCAAAACACGCGAGCCCCTACAAAAGGTAATTATGTTTTGATTTCGAGAAAAATTTTTTCGAGCATCACAAAGGAGGACTAACGAGATAAGAGCGTGCTAAATCGTTCCCCCCTCGGCCCGCGCGAGGATCAATTCGCTCTCGAACGGTCGATTGGCCGAGCGAGACGGCTCTATGGCGGGCGCGGCTTATTCTGGCTCCTCCTCCGGCAGCAGCGGGAGAGGACCCTCGCTGCACGCCGGCCAGTCGACCTCCGAACGCGCTCGCATGCGCACGCGAAACCCTGTGTGCTAAATGGAACTGATCGGCGTTCAATGTTAAAACAAAGATACGAGGAGGTCAACATGGCGATACAGAGCGTCTCGAGGTACCCCAGCGGCCCCGCGGAGGCCACCGAACCGAAGACCTCCAGGATAAGTTTCAGCGTAGCTTCCATCCTGGCGGACACCAAGAACCAAGTGGGTGAGACGGAAATGATCAGGCACCACCGGACAATACCGGAGTCGCCGTTGCGCCAGTCCCCGGAGGCACAACCCGAGCTTCCAGGGGCGAAGTCCCCGCGGCCGTCCTCCCAGACGCCTCCGTTAAACCTAAACGTTTCCGCGAACATGACATCGTCTGACGAAGAATATGAAGACTCGGTGAATCAAGAGGACTCTATAGTGGACGTGGAAGATCTGCAGAATGGCCAGAGCGATGACGAGGAAAGGAATGATAAGAGGCTAGGGCCGATAAGGCCGACGCCGTTCAGCGCGCTGGCGGCGGCCGCGGCGGCCTATCACGGGCTCGGCTGGGCGGGACCGTCGCCGGTGGTGCCGTCGTTTGGACCCTTATTCCAGTCACATTTCCCGGGACATTTAACAGGTACATTTATTAATAATTATAATTAGAGAATGATTATCTATCAGAAATCTCCAAAATAGTCGGAGAAATAGGTACCTGGTTGCTTTATGCGTTGCGTTATACACGACTTTTTATTTAAAAGGGTAGGTAGGTAGTAAGTAGGTAAGGTATTTTTATTTTGGTTATATTTATATAATTATTTAACGTTAACTTAATTTAACCATACTATTCAAATGTTTCACTATACAACATTACAATAAAATTATAGTGTTTTAAACAGTTTAGAATTAAGATAATGGTTTAATATTTATGCACTTTGTAATAAAATTTGGGGTCATCATTGAAAGACGACGGAACAATCTCGAATGTTTAAAATCATGACTACTGTAACGAGATATGCATGTTAAACATATTATATAAAAATCGTTAATACTCAAAAGCCTATTAAGAACTTACCCACAAAATAATATTATTATCTTGTAAACAAAGCATTGAACACAACTTAAACGACACTTGAATAATGATCTATGCTTAACTTCGGTTTTACCATCAATCACTTTTGTCCTGGTTTGACGTTATCAATGTTGCTCACTTTCTTTACAAAAGTTTTTGTTTTCACTTGCTACATTTTAGTCTAAGTTATCCTTGATAGATGTTTAGAATTGACTTACCTTAAACTTAGTACCGCGAAGTTAGATCGATATGTAATACAAAGTAACATATAAACTGGCATAATACAGCAATAACACAAATAAAAAACATGTTTATCATTAACTACTTAATAATTGTTAAACATTTAATATGTTTGGCCTACGCTACATGAATCTTTTAAAGTTTATAACTTTAGTTTGTTAGATCACGCTAATCTCAGGAATTACTAGTTCGAATTGAATAATTATATTGTTGTATTGGTTGGAGAATTTATCAGGGAAGGCGTTTAAACTATCAAACACCTGGTCGCGACCAATAGAAGCGAATAAACAGAGAAAAATGTTAAACAAACCGGGAAAATTAGTTTATTTTTGAGGGCTTTCGTTGCTTGCGCTACGCGTAGGGTGGGACTCAAGACACCCAAAGATAATGTATTAAATAATTCCTTCAATACCTACTAAAAACAATGTCCACGATAGTCTTTGTCTATCTTTTAAGATTATCAAGAGAATCGTTTTTGTAGTATCAAATATAGGTCGAAATACTTCAGATGGCAAAAAAACGTTAGCCAGGTCAACTTTACTTATAAAATGTGTATTGGAAATCACATATGTATTTCTATTTGCGTGCACGAGAAGACACTGACAGTAGTTTTTAAATATTGCCCTGGTTTCGAACGGGCACTGTACGCTAAACGACATGATATTCCATGGGACCTTTGGAATGTATGTTACACTTACTATAGGTACTATACGCACACATGTTAAATAATTAATCTTCTAACGTAAATATGCAGTTTATAGTTACGAATGTAATAATATTACAAAGCGTACTTATTCCATTTATAACGAACGTTTAACATACTTACAATTACGTGATTACGCGAATTAAAATAATACAATTAATTGGAGTTGCTAATTATCTTCCGCTTCTAATGTAATTACTAGATAATTATAATTCTATTGTTATGCAATATAATGTGTTTATTATTATTAGCTTATTTAAATAAAACACTTTAAGGGTTAAAACTATTAAAAATAATTTAGTTTATTTTAAGCTCAGCTAATAATACTTTAACGGGTTAAAACGCGATATAGTAGTTACTTACTTATTTGAAAATGATTTTTAACTTCGGCCCGACGTTTCAAATAAGTTTAACTAATTTATCGCGTTTTAAACCGTTAAAGTATTATTATTTTAGCTTAAAATAAACGAAATTATTTATATTGAGATACGTAGGAGTAAATTAGGTATCCATAAATTATAAATGTTAGTAAAAACATGTGTGTAAAAAGCATATTATGTTTTTTTTAGTAAGTACACTTATATAGTAGGTAACTACTTGTATAGGTAGGTAATTGTTTCGATTTGTTTATCTAGTAAAATAAGAAATCGATTTATAATCGGTCTTATTAGAATTTCTTTGTTATTCAACTCTCATTTATGTATAATGATTTTAATATCTTTTTTTACAATAGAAGTATTATTAAGTTTACGGGTAGGACATATTTAAATAAGACATCTTTAACGGCTTTAAACGTGGAATATGTCAGTTTCACGGGGGGGACTAAAGATCAATATTACAAATGAAAAAGCCGTGAAGTTAAATCGAGTTTCAGCTACACGGTACAGATTTCCGAATACCCAAAGCAGAATAAATCGCAAGCGCATCTTGTATAGATTTTATATGGCTGGGGTATAACACTTACCAACAAGTGAATCGCAAGTTCGTCTTCCCTCTGTTATATTTCTTTCCGATAATTTAAAACGATTACGTACTATATCCAAAATAGCTCATCCTGTTTACATGCTATGCTGGGCTGAATGTCTGCCCTCCTCCATCAAAAAAAAAATCCTATAGGCAATACTGTCTTACAACAAATATCCTGACATATCTCCGTAACAAATTGTCACGTCGACACAGCACGAAACAGAAGGCCTGAGCCGAAAATCCTTCGGAACCGGTCGAACAAGCGACGCTAACCCTACATAAATATCGCATCTGTCGAAACGCGAAAACAATCGTGCTCAAGAAAATGGCCGACCGCTTTGCATAACACCATCACAATGACTCGCTCTTATGGGATTTGTTCGTCGCATTATGCTTGTGTTCGTGGGCGAAGTTTGTTGGAGGAGCCTCTACCTATTTATATAAAACACTTTAACAGTTTAAAACGCGATGTATATTAGTTGCACTTATTTGAAAACTATTTTAACTACCTACTGCCCGACGTCACGGAAAGACTGGAAGTTTAACTCGCGTATATATCGCATTTTAAACCATTATAATGTTTTTTTTAATGAGTAGGTATTATTCGCGTAAACAACAAATAGTATTTAATCTCTTCCTATATTTACAACTAGCTGACCTGGCAAACTTTTTGCCATTTGACGAATTTAGACGACATTTGATACCGTTAAAAATGATTCTTGTGAGTTAAGCTTAATATTTAAAGCCGAAGTTAAAGATCATTTTCAAATAAGTTTGACTAATATTGTAATATTTCATAAATGATGTACAGTATATTCCTACTACAGTTTTCTTAGTATTATAAAGTTCATACTTTTTAAAACGTGCGCCTAAAGAAAGCGTTTTGCTGTTCCGTTAGTAGAAAGTAGGCAAACGTCTAGGATATATTCCTATATAAATAGCAAACTCAATTTGAATAATGTTTAACATCGGTATGAGAAATCTGTACTTACTGATAGGTAAATACATATTTAATTTGTTGTGATTTTGTAGGTACAAAGTCCACTTAATTGTTTATAATATTAAATGACCGTTTCTGTAGCTAAATGGGTAAAAGTGTTGCCTAGCAATGCGTTAAGTACGAGAGGTTCTGAATTCTAATCCCGGAGAGGCAATGTAATGTTTTAGTCGGGCAGGGCACAGAAAAGTCTGATCAACTACTTGCCTGTAAAGAAAATCGACCAGTGAAACGGATACAGAATTGGTTCGCCCCATGTCCCAAGAGGGGAAAAGGGATTTCACTAACTATTAAATGATAGAACAGAGATGGTAATGACCGTATGTTTAAATACCGCCCGTGTCATCGATTGTTTTCAATTTGAAATAATTTAAAACATTACAGCTTACAATAACATGTAAAAAATATTGTTACTATTCTAATGTTATTGCACACGTTAGCATTATATAAATTAAGAAATCGATGTTTGTTTGAAAAATTCATAAGACACGCTGCAGATGGGATATGAACATGCCGTGCTGTTGCTCTACCGCAACTGCTGTTCCTGCATTGAGCTACCGTGTCGAGTCCAATTTTTAACCTATATAGATAGATTTATTATGTAAAACAGAAATATTCCAGTCCTTTCTTACCATAAGCGAACATAATGCACATAACATGAATTATACCCGATAAGCGCAGTAAAAACTTCCCGAAAGCCACATTACAGCTTACAACGCCATGAATTAACAGACATTTAGCATGCTTCTGTTCGAATGCTTAATTGATAAAAATTGCAAGAAACAAAATTGTATTGGGACATGCGACGCGGTCTAATGGCGACGTTGCACGATATATTTCTTATTAATTAACGGCTATTTTTTTTATTTAATTTTAATTTATTCGCGCGAGAGATGCACGTATTTGTTGAAGCAAAAATAACACCATGCTTAACCTTCTCTGTTATAAAAGATGTATATACAATCAATTGAAGGACGGGTTCGTTAGTCTACCGGCTACCGGGTCCGTAAATTCGATTACCGGGGGGTAATGCCAAGCATGTTTCCAATAGATTTATAATTTTTTCAAAACATTTTGGACTTCATCTGGAAATTTATCCAAATTCTCGTGTTACCAACCACCTACAGTCTACAGGTGAAGTCTGTGGAAATTCGAAAATCCAAATGTCCAAAGTCCTTAAATAGGTAGGTAAAAAAAAGGTACCTCCTTGAAGGTAGATGGATTACCCCCATAGAACATCTAATCAAGGTGCACGGTCGACCTATTTGCGCTTTGGATATTCGGAAATCCATAGGCAGAAATAAACGTGACGGTTTCAACTAACCTACAAATTAAACTACGTACTTCGGCGTAGGCGCAACGGCGCGGTTGCCATGGTAACAGTGAGGTGTCATTGCTACAAAACCCGCCTATCAGCGAAATCTCAGTTGCAGCCCTGACGAAGCAAAACATAAAACCTGTTTAATCGGAGTACAATACCCTGCCACCGTATTGCTCTTTTACGAACTATAATACGCGTTAATGCTCCTATTACCTGTATTTTCCTATTTGTTTACGGTCCAGGATAATAGTCTATTACCGATGTTAAATTGCTAATGCCAACGCTTGAGGGAAATTCGATTAAAACGCGATACAGTGCGGCGTGAGGGGCGATTTATGGCG